CTTTTTCCAGCATTCCTTCAGATTATTTTTTATTCTCTATTTCAGCTTTCAATCCTTGCACTTGTACTGTTTGAATTGTTTCTTACAATATTTGCCTTGTCTTTTCCTCCATTTGTTGCATTTTTTTATTTTTTGGTTTCTTTTTTTTCTCCCATTTCTTTCTTTTTTTGGTTTGTTTTTTCTTCCATTGCTTCTAGGGATTTTCCCATATCCTCTTTGAGAGCATCTATCATTTTCAAGAAGTTGTTTTTAAGGTCATTCTCTTCTGCTTAATTTGCATTGGATTATTCGAGTCTTGCTGGTGTAGAGTCTCTAGACTCTGGTGGTGTCATATTTGTTTTTCTGTTACTGAGTGTGTTTTATATTTTTTCCTTCCCATCCCTTCTTCTAGTGGGTACAGAAAGAGCCTTTTGAAGAAGAGGTGAAATGATTATATGATGCAGGGATGGAGAACACCAGGGAAATGAGGCCCTCTAAATTAACAGGAGAGACACACCTATGAACTCACAGGGACTAAGGAAGCTTATACAGGGCCTGCATGGATCTGCACCAGAAAGGGTCCTAGAGATGAACGAAGTGAACACATGTCCCTATGCCTAACCCAGAATCAGTCTCCAATTGGCAACAACTTGCAAATGAAATTTTACTCTTCTCCACAGCAATCTAACTAGGGGAAACAAACTAATTTTATGGTAGGCTCTGTGCCCAACAGTAGACGGCCAACAGAAAATGAACTCAATAGTATCTTTGAAGGGTCTTTGTCTCACGACTTTGTGTCAGGGTTACTTTTATTCAGTCCTTCCTTCCTCCCTCCCTCCTTCCCTACCTTCTTTCCTTTCTTTCATTTATCAGTTCTCTATTTTTACCTTAAAGATTCTTTGTGAAAATATTATGGCTTCCCATTTTGTGTTTTAAAGGGGATCCTGAGTGTGTGAATGAGTGGGTCTCTCCATCCATATCTGTTTCTTTTGCCTTTTCTTGGGCTCTTTGCTTGTTTTGTTCCATTTTGGTGACTTAGTTTTTATTTTATCATATTATATTTTATTGCACTGTAATCCTTTAGAACCCTGTTTGTTTTCTAATGAGAGAGAGAAAGGAGGTGGATCCAACTGGGATGGGAGGTAGGGAGAAACTGGGAGTAGTAGTGAGAGGAGGGATCACAATAAATAATTACTTAAAGATTCTAAAAAAAATGTATAATAATGTAGATGGCAAGGGGAACAGTATGGAAGGCCTTAAAATAATTGAAACAGAGTTGTGATGGTATCTCTCTCTCCAGTGATACAGCAATCCCACTGGCTACACATCAAAAGTAATTGAAATTGGTGTTTCTAAAAGGGATACCTACATGGCAGTTTATGGCAACTTAAGGTTCCAATTCTTAGGGCTCTGGGCCTAGAGGTCTATGGAGAACCAACACAGCTCCACCCCTAGAATTGGGGCAGGAAGAGTTCATCCATGAACTTGCCCAGCACTTCTTGTGCCAAACTGTCGGGCACCATTACGCTTTCTTAGCAGAATCACTTTGCTGATTCAGATATCCGGATAAATGACTTTTGTTCGAAACTGTATACTGTAGCCAGTAAGAGAAGATAGGAACCCACACAGCATCAGTAATACTGAGTGGGAGACAAAGATCCATATGACAGTTAGGTGATCTCTGCCTTGGGCCTGGAAGAGAAAACACAGGCCGACCTGGCATCTGATGAGCTCTACTGTGATGAGCAAATGTATGATGGAATATGGGAGGGAGGAAGGGAGAGAGAGAGAGAGAGAGAGAGAGAGAGAGAGAGAGAGAGAGAGAGAGAGAGAGAAAGAAAGAGAGAGAGATAGAGGAGAGAGAGAGAGAAAGAGAGAGAATGGTCCATGTCCTGTAGAGAGAGGCAGATTCGAAGAGGTGAAGACAGTGAGGAATGGGCCTAGGTGGGTAGCCTTCTTGCCCCCCCCCCCGTGTTGTCCCCACACCCCATCCCTGGTCATGGTGCTGTTCAGCTCTGAGCTGTGGCCAAGAGCCATGTCTGCACCAGTAGTCCGGCTGCAGCTGTGGTCTGTGTGATTGTCCTTGAGAGGATAGGGCTGCATACAGTTGAACTGGCCCCTCACTGGCTACAGCAGTAGGAAGAATGGGTCCTACCCTGACCAGCTGAAGCACAGTGGAGAGAGTGAGTGGGTCTTGCACCTCACCTGGGCAGCATGGCAGCTGACTCTGATGGGCGGGATGTGGTCAGGCTGGCTGTAAGGGCATGAGAGTGGGAGGGCTAATCCCACCCTCCTTGTGTGGTGGTGAGAGCTGAAGCGAAAGATACCCTCCCACCATGCCCCTCACCACTGCAGCTCCAGGGACAGCAGGCCCTTCACCTCACCTGACACCGTAGTAGTGCTGACCCTGCTTTTGGGGCACAAGTGAGCTTGCCCTGAGGTCATGGGAAAGCTTGCCTTTGTACCTCTTGCTTGTCATGTGGTGGTGAGGGAGAGGGAAAGATGCCCTCCCTTGTCCCTTGTCACCTGTGGCAAACAAGAGAGCTGCCCCTGTCTCTTACCAGATGCAGAACTAGGGAGACAGGTCTGGCACCTTTCCTGGGCAATCTGGTAGAGTTGGCCCCATTGAGGGAGGCTTAGATGAGTTATCGCAAGATCTGAGTGTGAGAGACTGAGTTCCTCTCCTCATCCTAGCAAGGGAGAGAAGCTGCCCCCCTCCACTCCTGTCCCTAAGGTCTAAGGTCACTAGAGCAAGAGAGCTGGCCCTATCTTTCACCAGCTATAGCACTAGGCAGAGTGGCCCTTACACCTTGACTAGGCAACACAGTAGAATTTGCCCTGGTGGTGTAGGTGTGGGTGAGCTGACCCATAGGACATGAGAGCAAGAGAATTGGTTCCACCCCTTGCTGCTACTACATAGGGTGAGCTAGCTGGGGCAGTACTGGAGAGCTTACCCTGGTGTTGAGGATAAAGGAGAGCTGGCAGGCTGACCTACCCAGCAACTATCCAGACTCAGAACCAGAGCTATGGGTTGCCTCATCCAATCACTCAGCCCATCCATGATCTGCTGGAGCACATGAAGGGGCTGGTCCCGCAGATCCAAAGTTTCAGGATCTCTATGACAAAGGACAACAACAGGATATCCAAGAGGAGTTCCAATGAGGGGTCCCATATTAATGTACCAAAACCCAGAGATTTCAAACCAGATCAACGACTCAAAGTAATGAACACTTGGAACTAATAATATATGAACTAAAGGACTGTATCACACTACAGCTTCCATGAAATTTCTTTTTTTCTTTTAAGTTTTATCTTGTTTTATCCTGGGGGGTGGGCTGCAAGTGTAGAGGGCAGATGGAAAGAGATGGGGAGATGAGTGGGATCAAGATGCATGATGTGAGAACCACAAAGAATAAGTAAAAAGTTAAACCTGCAAAAATGATTTAAATTATGAGGACCTATGGATCCATTGATGTATAAAAAGATGTAGTATGTACATACAAATTATTATTATTATTATTATTATTATTATTATTATTATTTTGGTTTTTCAAGACAGAGTTTCTCGGTGTAGCTTTGGAGCCTGTCATGGAATTCACTATGTAGATCAGGCTGGCTTCAAATTCAGAGATCCACCTGCCCTTGTCTTCCAAGTGCTGGGATTAAGGGCATGAGCCACCACTGCTCAGTTTGCAATGAGCTTTATTTTGCACTTACTTGGGTAAAGGCAAAAACTTGGATACACTTGAGGGCATTTTAATAAGTAAAATAATCAACTCACAGAAAGCCAAATGCTATGTGATCCCGTGACTATGAAGTGTTCACAGTAGAAAGTGCATACACAGAGGATATAGCGGTAGTTTTCAGCAACTTGGAGATGGGAGAGAACTGCAGAGGTTTTGTTTGATTGCCCAGATTTATGCTAAATAAATTAGTTATTAAGATCTGAAAAAAAGAGAATGCCGCAAAGTTTATTTCTAATAAGTTTAGTGTGACTTAGATTTAATAATTATCACTAATTCCTAATATGTTAATGAAGCATCCAATTACATTGTTTGTAGATATTTTGAAAAGATTATATTTCAAGAAGTCTAAAATGCTGTTTTAACAAATAGGACATGGCCTAACTCCCTCTCTCCTCCCTTGACGTGGTTACCTTTCTTGCAGGGGTCGAACACAAATTTATGTTATTTGGTCCTAGGCACCAAGAGGCAGGGAATATAGAGTATGTTGCTCTGGCTGACTTATTATTCTTTATTATCCTTTTGGCATTGGAATGCCACTAACAATCCTTGACGTTTCACAATGTGAACTGGGAACAATTTTAAAATTTTTAGAACACAAAAAGGTAGCTTCACAAAAATCCATGCTTCCTTCCACTTAGGACAATGGGAAGTATATGGCAGAGTACATGTGACTCAGCAAATGGACAGTCACATTTTATTTGTTGAATAAATGGATTGAAAGAATGGGGAAATAAAATCAGGAGATACTATCTTTAAAGAAATATCTTCAAAGAAAACCTTTATAAAATTAGTATTTTTCAACAATTGTTATTTATATTTTGCTCTATTTTATGTTCCTAATGATGCTCATTCTATAATTAGCATATACATAATGAATTTATAAACAATCAGAATATATATGTAATAAATGTGTACATAATAGAATTTACAACAACACATGGAAAGATTCTCTTAAAGAGATTAAGAGTTGCAAAAATAAAAAGGTACATGAACACAAAATTAAGAGAAACTGCGCTGGAGTAATAGTCCTGCTTTATAGGAGGCTCAAGGGGAAAGGAAACGGCTGTAATTTGGGTCCCTGCTGCTGCTCACAAACAAGTCCCAAGCACTAGACCTGTCCCAAGTGTGCAGGCTGCAAGTATGAGAAAGATGGGTGTCAGAAAGCACAGCTGGGCCCTCCCCACGCATGTCTCTTTTGGGAAGCCAGGAAAGATGGCTCCACCCACACGGGACTTGTTCCCTTCGTTCCCTTGATTCTGCTTGGTGGCCTCTTACCTGTTTTAAACATATGTGTGATCCACCTGTAAGCGCCCACATTGCGGCACTGTAGCTCTGTGTCTCTGACTCTGAGAGCTGTTTGCATCCCACTTCCAGGATTCTCCGAGGAATATCTGCAGAAATTTCCAGGATTCTCCGAGGCATATCTGCAGAAACTTCCAGGCCGAAAGGACATAAAGCTCCCTGTCTTCCTGCCTTCAAAGAGATCCGGAGGGTTCTCGTATCTTCTCTTAATGCCCTGTATGGGAGGAAAGAGTCTTCTAAAGTTCTCTAAAGTCAAGAACCTCAAGGACCCTTTCCATTGAAACCTCCTCAGACTGCATGGGACGCACCTCAGGCTCCCTGTTCTGTAGCCCAGTCCTATGGCAATCAAACCGTATAGCCAGTTCCAGTGTTGAACTTAATGGGTACACCCCGCCACAACCCGATGTGAATATTATTATATTATATATTATATTAATTATTATAATAATAACGAGCTGAACCTACTGGTCCTCATATTGTCTTTATATAAGGCAGCTTGCTGTCCCCACATGCCAGGGTACGGAGCTCAGAAGAGTTGAGGGTCTATGTTTGACGAAATGGCTGTTGCAAAGCCACGTTAGATAACGGAAATCCTCCAGCAATTCCAAGACGTTACACGCATGTCCTCAGGGATATGCAGCTGTGCACATGCAAATTCACATAAGTGCGCATGCGCGAATGCATGTCTGTGGCTATCAGTGTGAGTACCTTTGCTTACTAGCCCACGTGAGCTTGACCTCACCAAAGGGCGCAGTCAGTGTTCAGTGCACAGCTACAGAGTAAAGCTGGTCCACTCTGCTACTGTAGCCTCGCGTTCCTTCAAGGGTCAAAGGTCCTCATCTCGGTGACAGAGACTTATGAAATGCTGGTCCATAGCTATGAGAATGCTGTCCATGCACAGGACTCTTGAAAATATGATGAATGTGACAAAGATGAACCATAGTTCACAAGAAAATTCAAAAAGTCCTCTCTACATATCTATTTATTTCTCTTCCTCAGACCCTGGATCCTGACGACTACAGAGTAGTACTATGGTAGTAACTTCTGCTCTGTGATTTCAGAGATAGTTGAGGTCAGGCACCAAAAAGTTGAGGTACAAGCTTTTGAGGAGAAGTCAGAGCACATTATGTAGGTGTGATGAACATGCAGCAAAGCAGCCTCTTTTGCGCCAGACCTCAGGTATATATTCTTACAGTCATTTTTTTTTTTTTTGGTTTTTTCGAGACAGGATTTCTCTGTGGCTTTGGAGGCTGTCCTGGAACTCACTTTGTAGACCAGGCTGGCCTCGAACTCACAGAGATCTGCTTGCCTCTGCCTCCCGAGTGCTGGGATTAAAGGCGTGCGCCACCACCGCCCGGCGTCTTACAGTCATTTTTAATTGAATTTGTAGTTTTAAATTTTGTATGTATGTACAGCATTTGCATCTTTCCTCTCCCACCCTCCAACTCCTCCCAGGTCTTTCCACCTCCCTCTAAAATTCATGCTCTTTTTATCTTTATTATTGTTATACAAATACCTATATACAAATATATAATAAATATATTATTACCATCTACTGAGCCCATTTAGTTTTGTTCATATGTATATGACCTTGCTATTGAAGGCTTGGCATTAGAAAACCAATAAAGACCTCATCTCTAGGGAAAACTAATCCTCCCTCTCTCAGAAGTTATTATTTGCCTGGAGATCTTGATCTGGAGGTGGTGTTTATGTAGCCACATTGTCAGGTTTCCTGGATTCAGGTTCTCTGCCATATAGGAGACAGTCTCTTGCAGCAGACTTCCTTTCCCTATGGCTATTATAATCTTCCCATCCACCCTCTTCTGTGATGTTCCCAGAGCCAGCTAATACAAGGCTCCTCCTCCTGATGATGCACCTCCTCCCCTCTTATTCTTCCTTCCCCCTGTCCTCACCCTTTTTCTCATCTTCTCTGGGCATCTTAGCCTTATCCTCCCACACCTAGGTTCTAGCAACAGCAAACTCCAACCCCAAGCTTCCCACACCCTTGCTCTCCTGAAAGCCCTACTGAGAGTACAACATCATCCTATTTCTTCTTTTCCTCAGTATATCTGGCCTCTCTTGGCCTCCCTTCTGGTCCTTGCCTTGTCTCTGACTCCCATTTAGATGGAAAATGATAGCATTCTTTTCTGTTTCAAGCTCACTCACCCTGAGCCAGGCTGACTCAAGAAGTCCTACATCAGCACTGCAGCAGTCTTCTGGGTGATAAAGGATAGGGTGATGAACAAGGTCAGCTGGAACATTCAGTGTTTAACTTCTCACTGCCTGGTAGAAATTTGCCAACAACATTGTAGAATTTCAGTGACCTCAGAGTACAGAGCACAGATTCCTATATTTTATGTCTGAACAGATTTTAGGAAGGGAGAATTCACAGACTCTTTAACCAGAATGGATTAGTTATATAACATAGATTCTTTAAGGGCAGTGGAAGAATATTTTGACATAATTTTATATACCTAATCAAAAACAGAAAAGTTAGAGCATTTTTGGTTGTACCTTCATAACAAAGGCTTCATTCTGGAATGACCACATTCTCTTTTTAAATGAAGCTTGGTAATAATCCACTAACCATAAGGAAAAGTATGCACCTTTATTCCTTACATATAACTTCTTGTCAATGGGAACTATTGCTATTTTTTTCTTTTTTCCCTGTTTTTATTTATTTATTTATGTTTCGGTTTAAATTTAGATTAGAAACAAGGTTGCTTCACAAGTCAGTTCCAGGTCCCTCTCCCTTTCCCTCCCCTCCTCCCATGCCCTCCCCCTACCCCTCATTATCGCCTCATTTCCCCAGGGAGGGTGAGGCCCTCCATGGGGGTGTCCATGGTCTGTCACTTCATCCAGGGCAGAGCCTAGACCCTCCCCCAAGAGTCCAGGGTGAGAGTGCATCTCACATTGTTGGATGGGAGTCCAAAGTCCGTGTGTATACTCGGGATGAGTACTGATCTGCTGCCCAAGGCTCAATAGATTACCTAGGCCTCCTCACTGACACCCACATTCAGGGGGTCTTGATCAGTCCCATGCTGGATTCCCAGGCTGATGCCTGGGATTCAAGAGTTAACCTTTGTCAGGTCAGCTATTTCTAGGGGTTAAACCAGCCCAGTCTTAATCCCTTTGGTCATTAGTCCTCCCTCTCTGTTACTGGCTCTCTTGAGTTCAGCTCAGTACTTAACCGTGGGAGTCTGCCTTTTTTGCCTTACTGACTGTGTCCTTTGCCTTACAGAAGCTTCTCAGTTTCAGGAGGTCCCATTTATTAATTGTTGATCTCACTGTCTGTGCTACTGGTGTTATGTTCAGGAAGCTGTCTCCTGTACCAATTCGTTCAAGGGTACCACCCACTTTCTCTTCTAAGAGTTTCAGTGTGGCTGGATTTATGTTGAGGTTTTTGATCCATTTGGACAATCCCCAGGCACTGGAACACAGGTCCAGAAGCAGGGCCTGTTGTACCTGATCCTGCCGCCAGAACAGCTGCTCCTATTGCTAGTTTTTTCTTTTCCCCCTTTTAAAGTAGAAACTATACTTTTTCTTCTCCAACTCCTTCCCCCTCACTTTCCAAAACACACAAATGCACCTGCATTCCTTCTCTCTCTCACTAGAATCCAAACAGGAGTCTAAAATAATGATGATAAAATAAATACTTAAAGAGAAATGTGGATGCTACTCCTGCCCTAATCCTTTGACCTATAATCTGTCCTGCATGCAAATATAATATGGCAATGTTGGAACAGAACTTGTGGGAGTGGACAATCAATGTCTGAATTGACTTAAGGACCACTGCAGGAGAAGGAACCTATATCCAACAATGCTTGAGTAACCAAGAGCCCGAGCCCAGAGAGGCCAGAGGCCTAGGGTAAAACCAAAAACTACTGGTCAGAAAACAAAATCAATAAACTGACTCCTAATGATATTCTGCTACATTCATAGATTAGTGGCTTATCCTGTCATTATCAGAAAGTTTTTTTCCCTCTGGCATCATATGAGAACAGATTCAGAGACCTACAGCTAAATATGTGGAGAAAAAAATCCCTAAATTGAAGGTCTCCACCGAATCCCTCCACTCAGAGCTCAGGTAATCCTGCTGAATAGGAGGTGGAAATACTGTAAGAACAAGAGAGGATGCAGGGCCCCAGAAAAACAAAGTTCTCTGGATCAACCAAGCAAGGCATGAATGGGTTCACAGAGATCGAACCAGTAAGTACAGGGCCTTCATCAGTCTGAACCAGGCTTTCTCCACACATACTCATAGTGTTTACTTTAGTATTTTTAATAATTTATTGATTTTTTAAATTTTATTTTACGCTTTTGGTATCTCCTGGCTTGGGGACTGTGAGTAGGTCTAGTTGCCCCAGGCTGGCCAAGCCATCCAGAGTCTGCTGACAGGGATGTTAGTCCAGCCTCCACCCACTGGGAGATAGAGTGTCTTAGACCTGCCTGCACCCATCATGAGACCCATTGGAGTATTGGACCTACTTGCACCCACCAGAAGAGAACCTTGAACCTGTACCCAACAGGAAAGGAAGAGACCCCACCTGTAAAAACTGAAAGAAGGGCTAGGAATATGACAATATAAGAACACATTCAACAACAGAAAAACTAATATGATGCTACCAGAGTCTAGGGACTGTACACCAACAAGACCTGAACATCCAAACACTGATGAAGCAGAGAGAATGACCTTAAAAACAACTTCATGAAGATGATAGAGACCCGAAGAGAGGAAGTGAGAAAATCTTTTAAAGAAATGGAAGAAAAGACAAACCAAAAATTGCCAGAAACAGTTCAAGCAGTGCAAGGTCTGAAAGCTGAAATAGAGAATAAACAAAACAACCTGAGGGAATTCTGGAATTAGAAAAGCTAGGTAAACTATCAGGAACTACAGATGCAAGCATAGCGAGCATAATACAAAAGATCGAAGACAGAATATCAGACATTGAAGATACAGTAGAAGAAATATACTCATTGATCAAAGAAAATCTCAAGTCCAACAAATCCATAACACAAGATATCGAGGGAATATGGGACACTGTGGAAAGGCCAAAACTAAGAATAATAGGTAAAGAAGAAGGTGAAGAAACCCACCTCAAAGGTACAGAAAATGTATTCAACAAAATCATTGAATAAAACTTTCCCAACCTAAAGAAAGACATGCCAATAAAGGTCAAGAAGCTTACAGAACACCAAACAGAGTGGACCACAGAAAAGTCTCCTTGCCACACAATAATCAAAATATCAAACATACAGAATAAAGAAAGTATATTAAGAGCAGCAAAGGAAAAAGGCCAAGTAACATATAAAGGCAAATTTATCAGATTCACACCTGACTTCTCCATGGAAACTCTGAAAGCCAGAAGGTCCTAGATAGATATTCTACCAACACTAAGAGACCACAGATGCCAGTCCAGACTACTATACCCAGCAAAGCTTTCAATAACTATAGATGGAGAAAACAAGATATTCCATGACAAAATCAGATTTAAACAATACATAACCACTAATGCACCCTCACAGAAAATACTGGAAGGAAAACTCCAAGCTAAGGAAGTTAAGTACACTCACAAAGACATAGGCAATAGATAATCCCACTTTTCCAAAAGCCCAAAGAAAAAGGGGAGTAAAATCACA